CAGCGCAGGAGGAGAAGACCCTCTATGAGATGGATTGATTCGGTGACTGGGGTAATCGGGATGGGTGTGTCAGAGGCAGTGCGGTTGGTGCAGGATAGAGCAGGGTTTAGGGCTGTTGTGCATAGGGTCGCTATGAGTTGCAAACAACTCAATGGCACATAACAACAACATCAACAACATATTGCTCTGGAGATGAAAAGGTGAGAAAAAATGGAGTTGCCCTCATAGTTAAGAAAGTCATTTCTAGGTCCAACTTGAAGTACAGTTATTGTGAGTGACAGGATAATATCCATATGCGTACAAGGAAGGCCAGTGAATACAACTATCATTCAGATATAGGCACCAACAACCAGAGCCAAGGAAGAGGATATAGAATATTTTAGCAACTTTTACAATTGGAGATCAATTGAACATGCAATCAAGATGCCCTGTATGTAGAGCTGCCTAATTCTGTAGCAGAAGTGTTCATTATTAATAAGCCTTTTCGTAATTGCTCAGATTAAATATGACATTGAGAATATTAAGCACAACTCAAAGCAATATGCAAATCTTGCCTTGAAAAATAGATGACAAACAACACTAGCATAAGACGCACTAGCACAAGATCAGATACAGGTCAAGTTGGTTCTGATTCTGTGGAATGTGACAAAAGCTGAAGGGGGGAAAGATTCTATCTAGAAACTAAAACAATATTCCTCAGGAAAATAAAAAACAAAAGCTATCTATGGTTGCTATCAAGGATATTCTATTCCGTCTAGTGAAGGCAATGATTAAATACTTGAGATCTTAAAGTGTTTAAATACAGGGATCTTAAGACAAAAGAAACCAGTTTTGGAAATGTAGTCAATTTAATTCTTTTAACAAAATTATTTTCTCTGTGTGTGTACCATCAAATTGGATCTGACTGGTACAGCAGGAAATGGCCCCTCCTTCTCCAGCAGAACATCTGGTCGATTCGAACCACATTTCTCTGGGATTGCAGTGCAGTGTCTTGCCACTAGGCCACCAGAGCTCCCCTAGTCAATTTAATTCTATTCCATTTCTCCAACAGTAGAGACAAGAATCAGAAAAAGAAAGAAATTTTTTAAAAAATCCATTGCCATTGAGATGATTCTGACTCATAGTGACCCTCCATGTGGCTTCTACAGCTGGAAATCTTTACAGGAGACCACCCATCTTTCTCCTGCAGACTGCCTGTCCAAACTGCTGATATAGTGTCAGAGGCTGACAAGTTACAGGCACTATGCCCACAAGGGAGGGAAGGAAGGCAGGAAGGAAGGAGAAGAAAGGAAGAGGGAAAGGAAGGGGAAAGGAAGGACGGAGAGATACAGAGGGAGGGAGGAAGAGAGGGAAGAAAGGAGGAAAGGAGGGAGGGAGGGAAAGAGAGAGAAAGAGAGAGATCCCCTTAAAGAAGGCACCCCTTCGAATAGATACCTCAAAGGAAAAGAAATAGCATCAAACACAGATATTCTGTGTCTTATCTTAGTTCTGTCCCTTCTAGACAACCACATCTCTCATTATTATATTACACAACTTATGCTCACTGCCACAGCATACTATTCTGATTTGTATCCAGGCTGGTTTCAGAAGGGG